TCACGCTTGGATTAATTCAAAACACATGGCATGAATGCCGCATGCAGATGGTGTACTTTTGTTTTGTTTGTTTATAGATTGTACATAGGATTACATTTCCTCCGAGGAGTTTGATGCAGCCGGTTGGTTTCTACTTGTCACTGTCATCCATGTTATCAAATTCAAATCTGCACTGTCAGTTCATCGGTAGATCATGTACAAAGTTCTATTTTGTAGAAAGAAAAGATAAATTATTTTTTAAAATGTGTTTAGTGTAAATAACGTCAAAGTCTAAATTGATTTTATATTCTGTTTGTTTTTTTTTGTTTCTTTTTTGGAGGTGTTTTTCCCTCTTTGGGGTGGAGGCTTCAAGTGTAACTTTGAACAGATTTCATTTCTCAAAGCCTTTGCTGTTGTTACGAGCACAAACATATCCTAACACAACATACACATCTACTTTCTTTACCGCAATCTGGCACATTTTGATAAACTTTTTCACGTGACACCATGTTAAAGTGATCACACTTTTAGACGTTATAGAGGTTTTTGTTAGGATTTATTCTGTGCTTGTAAGACAATGACAGTACAACAACACATCACACAGTTACTCCAATAAAATTTCGTCCATGTTCACTTACTAATGTCTTATGGGAACCCTAAATTATTTTTCCTCTACCTCATGTGTATAGCTTGTAGGTATAAACAGATCACAAATGACTGGTAAGAATGTATTTAAGTTATTTAACATCTTTGTATAACAAAGGCTCAAAAAAAAATCTAAAATAATAAATAAATTCTTAAATTATTTAATGTTTGGTTTTATTCTTGGTTGTTGTTTATATATTTTACAAAAAAATATTTATTTTTTGTGTTTTAGCAAAATGTTTCAGAATTATTTGACTGACGGAACACTGGTTTGATCAAACATACCTTCCTTCAGTTTACTTTATATTTCTGGGCTGAGTCATCGAGGCAAATCAGGTAACAGATGTTTGACTCTGGTTCCTGTTCTAGTTAAAGTCCAGTTGGAGTAAACCCCGGTGTAGTTTTCCAGGGTTAGTTCCAGGGTGTCAAACAATCAAGGTGTGTGTGTCAACTGACCTTCAGACGGCGGTTGTTTTTAGTTCGAACAAACCACCAATTATATTTAGACAAAAAAAAAAAAAAAAAAGCAGCCAGTGAGGGGATTTCCCTTCCCTGCTGCAGGAGCACATCTGATAGGAAGGAAATGAGAACCTGACCAGAAGGTCTTCAGTTCATGTCCCTTGCCTGTTGGAAAAATGTCTCAGGCTCAGCTCTAGATGGAAGAACAGTGAGGGAAGCACAAAGGCCTTCCTGCTATGTAATCAGATATCATTGTTGAGGTTGAGTGTTTACAGGAATCTGATTCAAACGTCAGTGGATTTCATCGTTTCAGACAGGATCGCCCTCAGGAGTGTTTACAGGAATCATCGTTTCAGACAGGATCGCCCTCAGGTGGCTACGACATTTATATTGATTTAGTGTAAGGCGATTACGGAGACCTCAGCTGAATTCCACCCCACACGGCTGTGGCCATAAGTTTTTTTGGTTCCAATGTCAAACAAAGTTACTCTGAAACCAATTAGTGTCAGAGATAAACATTTCTGCTCTGGATCTGCAGTACTACTCTGCTCAACCGCTCTCATTTCAACAAACTCTGTTCCCTCCACAGACAAGTTAAGGTTTCGGAAGAGTTTTCTCTCTCAACAATCCTGCAAATATCTTGTAAACTCATCTAAAAAGCCTTAAGGCAGGACTAATCCAGGAGATAGAGAGCTCTGTGATCTCAGACTGGGAATATGAGCGGAATATTCAGTTGGATAAACAAAACATTTACCCACTGCAACTCGTCTAATACTGAAACATCAATAGGAAAGCCTATGGAATTCCTGACACGTGTACCTAAATCAATAGTGCAGGAGTAGCTCCTTCCTGGCGTTAGCAATTCCTCCCTTGGGTCATAACTGCTCTGCCCTGCGAACCTGAGCTGCTTTTCTGTAGCCCCCATACTGGACTCTCTCTAACTTCCTGACCTATAACAAGCACTAATATGAGCTGGAACTCTGTGGTACACTGTAATCTGGCAACATTTTCACAGCTGCTGCCATGAAGGAAGTGGGAGAAATGAAAGTGCAGATTTGAAAAATAAACAAACTTTTTTGAACTTTGTGAAGTTTCAACAACCTGAACCTCTCCTGACTGGACTCCATCAGTCCTGAACTGCAGAAAGTTGCGGATCATTTGCTATTTTATTTCAAGGAGTTCATCTGGTCGTGATTTCAGATGCACTCGTCAGAATTGAGTGTTAATCCTGGTCAGCCTGTTGCCAAAATTGTAACTGGATTCAGAAGCCATTTTAAATAAATGTAGCTAACAGAGTGACTAGGTCCCAGTCCAAAAAAAAAAAAACAACCCCAAAACAAAACCATGGGACAATGATTATATTTGAATAGGGCAGTGTGACAGGTAAACTAAACACATTCAAATTTGGGAAAGAAGAAACTACAGAGAATTCAAATATAAATATAGAAGGCGCTAGTTTGAGGCTACAGTCACAACACACTAGAAGCTGCATTTCAACTAGAAACATTCTAAACAGCCAAACCATCCAGTGGAATTAGTTGCAGAATCCACTGACTTCCTCTCAGATCTCTTTTATGACCATCACATAAGCTGTGCTGCCTTTATAACATACTCTCCCCTAAGACCAATTTAAAAATTAGACTGGCACAAAACACCAAACACTCCTTTTACATGGCCCTCCACAGGCTTCACCCAGTCCTGGAGAATTTCCCACTTCCGACAAAAGCTGTACTTTAGGTAACTTCCAAATGTCCAGGTCCTGTAGAGTCGTCCCAGAAAGGTTGGACACCTGCTCTCTGTGGCAGGTAATGCTCTCAGAGCCCCAGAGCAACGCCGTTAAACAAATAAAATGAAGATGAAATAATTTGATTTTAATTCTAAAATAATGACTTTGGAAAACAACACAATGTGTCAATTTATCCAAATAAGTTTTACAAGCTGAGGATTAGAACTGGGGCCTTAAAGTACCCACACTGCATGAGCCAGTCACTATAAAAACACCTGAGCTCATGCCACAAGTTTGTGGAACTTTCAGATTTATGATTTTATTTTGAATTTTTTTTTCCAGCTTGTTGTCAAGAGTGAGTTCCTCTCTGGAAAGTGTGATAGGGGTCTGTGAGGTATGTACCTTCTTCCTGCAACAGCTCGGGGGTTACCTTGTTTATAACTGCTTTTGATTGTTGTTAAGTACCTGTCAACACTCCAGCGTGTCCCTCCTGCCTGGAAAAACACATGATCTCAGCAAACTCTCGAAATAGGGGCAAATGGAGAAAATGCAGTGCATTAAGGAAAAAATAATTAATGCACTGTATATACAGTAAGTTTCACTAAATCTGCTCTTCAAACAAAAGAGACTTTGTCTCAGTGAGGCAGTCGACGGTAATGGTGTTTGCACATCCCCGGTAACAGAGACATTTGGTTAAGAATAGTAAAACTATTCAAAAGAGTTGAAATGAAATGATTTGAATTATAAAACGCCACGAAGAAACTCACATCCTGTTGATGCGTGCGCTGCAAAAACTGTCACTGTCTCTTTCTTTACTTGAACCTCCTGCATCTGCTCCTCAACTAGGGAGAAAGCTTATCAACCATGGCTGAGGCCTCCCTGAGAGGAGCGATGGATAATGATGATAACTGGCTCGGGGGGTTTTCAACACTTGCTCACAATCATAAAAATGTCAGCTTTACACGACTGTGCTCATTTTTCAAACCTCCCTTCTCCTCTTACATTACGCTGCACTTTTATCCAAGGTCCAAGTGAAGAATTTAATAAGATGGGACTGAAGTTGACATCCTCCTCCAAGATAAACAGGTTAATAAACAAACAAATCATTCTATAAATAATAGTGGAACATGTGTTTCTTTAGTTGGCAGACATATTTGGAGGGAGAGGTAAATCCCAGAGACCCCATAGCAGG